TTCTTTCAGAAATTATACTGTTGTTAATTCCAAAATCATTGTGGTCACAATAAGGCCTGAACCCAAAACAACTGATTCATTTCTGGAGATAGAACTAGCTCACCTGACGAATGTAAGTATCACTCACTTAACATTGAGTTGCTTGCAGAATAACACTTTTAATTACCTTTGAAATGCCCTTTTAACCAATAAAGTCAGAGCATAGCTTCTACATTTTTATAATCACAAATTAATTTTTATGAACATGTATAGAAGCAGACAGCCGTATTATATACTTTCCATTCAAGATAAAACTATATCTACTTTACCAAAGAGAATAATTAATGAACTGCTCATTTGTGCAAGCATGTTTATTAGATTCAGCTACCTCCTGGGGGAGGGGTCACAGTTTGAATAAGAGCCTATGTTACTATACTATGTGGTGGGAAAAACCAACATGGATTCAAATGCACTTAACAGTCAGAACTATAAATCTAATTCAATGAGAATAATTAACTCAAAGAATATTTTGATATTTTAATATACAGGGTCACATATAAATGTATTAGTGCTTTTTTGCTGTTTGAAAATTTCATACATGTGTGCAATGTGTTTTGATCTAGACCACCCCCATTCCTTCCCCTCCAGCTTCTCCATCTCCCCACTATTCCTTCCCCACTTCCTGTATTCTTTTTTCTTTATTTCTCTTTTGTTTTTAATCCACCGAATCTACTCAGCACTGCCAATAATGTGTGAGTGCAGGGCCATCTACTGGCACATAGGCAGCCTCTCAGGGACCACATCCTTGAAGAAAACTAATTCTCCCTCTCCTGCTTTTACTTTTAATCTTTTTCCTCTTGCCTCTATTTTAAGTAAGTGATTGTTTTAGCTGCCTCATTTCTCCAGTGGTCTGCATGAGATCTTACATGCCAGAATGTCAGGCCTTTCCTTAAATCAATCCAACTATGTCTGAGTCCTCTGGATCTTGTTTAGTCATATATAGAAATGTAAAATGGCTTATTTTATATATGTACCTAAATTATAATTTAGGTACCCACATTTATATATGTACCTAAATTATTAAATAATTGAATAATAAAGCCAAGAATGTGATTCCTATCACAACCTTCCTTATGATACTATTTTGCCTCCTGTATTTTGCATGTATTTTTACTATCCCCTATTAATTTTATATAGTTTTTTAGTTAGTTAATTAATTAATTTAATGTGTATAATTGTTTTGCCTGCATGTAAGTGCACCATGTAAGATCAATACCCCTGGAGGCCAGAAGAGGGAGTCTGATCCCCTTGAACTAGAGTTATAGATGGTTGTTAACCACCATGTGGGTGCTGGGAACTGAACTTGGTTCTTCTCCAAGAGCAGCAAGTATTCTTAACCACTGAGCTATCTGTCTAGTCCCCCCTCCTTACATATTTTTAAAAACTGATTAAATAATTTTTCCAACTTAATGTAACTAGTGAATAACATAATTTGAATCCACATTCTTTAGGCTACAAAACTTTCATATTTTTGCTACTGTGTAATTTCTGATTTCCTACAGAACTCAGCCTTAATTTTATAAAAAGAGTTAATCATTTTCCTTGTGAACTACCTTATCCTAAGATGCCTCAGACCTCCAAAACCGTTTAATGAAAACTGCAAATCTTTCTGCAATAACTTTGAAACATTGCAATTAATATTTTAAACTATTAGATGATCTCTCTTTTGCCAATGTAACCATGCTGATTCTTTTCCTCAGTATGTACTTCTTTATACCTTATTTTACTGAAAATGATGAGAGACAAAATGAACATTTCAACATTTATTTTTAATAAGAAATGTATTTACCTGTGTGGTCAAAATTCCCTGAGATTTACCTTTTTGTTTCTTTTTATTGCTTCTTACAGAAATGCTTATACAATTATAGAAAGTGATGTAAACCAGTAAGAAATATTGACCATAAGCACCAACATTATAGGATTGCTGAATAATTAGCATTAGAATACGTACCTTGTGTCTTCTGCGCAAGACACTTCTATAAATAAACATTCTTAAGACATTCCTAGATAAAGATAAAATTGTTTACAATCTCAGATAATGTATTTTACTACATAGTTTCAGGATGTTCAGTCCATAATAACTTAGTCCTACGAGCTTGAGTGGAACATCATGGGGGTGGGAACAGGTGGCAGATGTCATGCTTTACCTCTTGGTGAGCAGGGAGCAGAGAGAGGAACTAGGTGTCATTTACAATGTTCAAAGGCACATCCCTCAGTGACTTACTTCTTCCATTGGGCCTCACCTCTTGAAGGTTCCATAACTTCCCCAAATAATGCCCCAAACTGGGGATCTAGCTTAATACATGAACATGTGAAAGACATTTCGTATTCAAACCATAACACATTCTTAGAATTTGAATTAAGTAAAACCTATTTGAAATGAAATGAAAGCATGTAAATGCTTTGAGTTGAACTTTTCTAGGAATGTCTATTTTGTGAGTTGATTTTTAAAAAGAGATAAACCAGGACTGCAGAGATGGCTCAGTGGTTAAGAGCACTGACTGCTTTCGCAGGGGACCCAGGTTCAATTCTCAACACCCACATGGAGGTTACAAACCGTCCTTAACTCCAGTCCCAGGGGAATCTGAAGCCCTCTTCTGACCTCCACAGCATTGCATGACACGGGTGCTCTCACATACATGCAGGCAATACACTCATATACATAAAATTTAAAAATAATAAAAATATAAAATATTTTTTAAAAAGAGATATACCATATAGAAAGAAATAGTTGTCCATGTATGAAAAACAGAGGATGATAAACACATTAATATACCAACTAGACACACTATAGTTGAATGAAAGTTAGCATCGAAGTATGATGATATAATGATGAAAGTCACTGAGAATTAATTCAGTGTCTTTTAATATTTTAAGTAGTTGAGTTGACTAGGCTCCATCCAAAAATTCTCACCACTGTAGATGCTTCAGATTGAAGAAAATGTGAAGAAATATATTAAGTAATGGGGTGAATAGAGAATAGGAAGATGCAAAGTCATGAAATAAAAGAGGTCACATATACAATGCCCACAGAGGCCAGAAGGGGACTCAGATGCCCTGGAAATGGAGTTATGGGCAGTTGTTAGCCACCATATGGGTGTGGGACCTAAACCCAGGTCTTCTGCAAGAGCAACCAGTGCTCTAAACTGTTGAGCCATCTCTCCAGCTCCACAGCCACAAATCAATGTATTCCTGACCCGTAGTTCTGGTTTGTGCCTGTTATCAGAGTCCATTCCACCTTGCTGGCATGGGTGGGAACTTCTCTGCAACATTCTATACTACCTCTAATTTAAAGGACATCACAAAGTCCAGTATGTACAGCCCTTTGGATCACACTGTTTGAATTTATAATACTCATCACATCTACATTTGGAGTATCACCTGAATCAGAACTTGAAAAATGTTTTATTCACTGAAGGAAAGAATATGTGGCTGTTTTTTGCATATTTTAATATTTATTGCCCATCTTACATTGGCATTTTATGCACATCATAATATTAGTTCATTTTCAGTTAAGAAATAGCAAAATAACTTACATTGGAATATCACAATTCCAGTATAATGTTACAAAATGTATTTTACTATGAATGCTGAAATTAAAACAAGCTAAAACTTGTGTGTGTGTGTATCCAGCAATTGTTTTTGCAAGTGATCTTTTTTAGATATGATACATATGTAAAACCAGATCAGTCTACTTTCACCTATAATCTTATATCAAAATTATCCACCACACTTCTCTGAGCTCAGGAAAGAGTAACAACCTGCAAATGACATGTGCTTTATATGTCATGTGAGTAAAATTGAAAGATGGGTATTAAAAGTTAGAGTGAGTCTAGGGAAAAGCCTATTAACATTTTGTAAATGAAATCTGTCCTTTTCAAAAGCTTTTTAACAAATAGCATTTAGAGTATGTTAAATATAATAAGGCCCTTGGGAACCTCCAGGAATAGGAAACAGAATATGGCACCTTGTCATTCCAAATGGTATTTAGCAAAGTCAGCCTCAGCTTTATGCAGTGTAGTTGTTAAGGGTGCAGCACCATTCTCAGCTCACTTTCCCTTCTAGCTTCTCTGTCCTGGCTGGTAAAATAAGAGGTTCTGACCCTTAGCCATTAGGCATAGAAGTCATTTGCTTTTAAGTAATAAAAACTTTTCCCAGAAAAATAATTTTCTATTTCACATTCCTGTTGTCATTCAGAATCATTTTATATATCAAGTTGTTAGTCTCCATAAAATATAAGGAAAGTTATTGATTTTATTGAAAATGGCTCCAGATTTAAATAAGTACAATAGAAAACATCTATATGCAGACACACAAATACATACACATATGTTGTCTGTGAGATCCCTCAAATCACAGCTTTCCAAGGTAACATCCTCATATTTAAAGATAAGATTGAAGATTACAAAATAAAGAGATTACAGTTGTGTCAGGCTTTACCAACATTGCGAGGATGAATTTTGTTACTTTATTGCATTTTCAAATAAATCATCATAGGCACCTCTTTCTGTTTGAGGGGGAAGATGTACTGCAATGTAATCTAGCCCTTAAAGAAGATTTTAAAGCTGGCGAGATGGCCCAGTGGTTGAGTACTGGCTGCTCTTGCAGAGGAACTGGGTTCGATTCCCAGCACGCACAAAATGGCTAAAAGCCATCCATAACTCTAGTTCTAAGGGAATCTGATACTCTCTTCTGACTGCAGGCATTGCATAATACAGGTGGACTTACATATGTTCAGGCAATGAACTTATATACATAGAGGCAGAGGCAGGCGAATCTCTGTGAGTTCAAGGCCAGCCTGGTCTACATAGTGAGTTCCAGGACAGCTGGGGCTACAGGGAGACTCTGTCTCAAAAAGACCAAAACAAACAAACAAACAAAAAAGATTGTAGAATGCTAATGCTGTCTTTCAAGATTTAAAAAAAGCATCGGAGTTATCTGTAATTTCTAAAGTGGACATGTGCATGAAAATCTCATGGGAACTTGAGCTTCTGTGTTTTACTTCCGTTGCCCTATACTATGTATGGTAAGAGTCAAGCTAATAAATTATGAAACAATAAATGTCCATAAATG